CACTCACACACACACACACACTCTCTCTCTCACTCACACACACACACACACTCTCTCTCTCACTCACACACACACACACACTCTCTCTCTCTCTCACTCACTCACTCACACACACACACACTCTCTCTCTCTCTCTCTCACACACACACACACTCACACACACACACACACACACACACTCTCACACACACACACACTCTCACACACACATTCTCTCTCTCTCTCTCTCTCTCACACACACACACACACACACTCTCTCTCTCTCTCTCACTCACACACACACATACACACACACACGCGGGGAATCCCCGCATGCCCAAGATCCCCTGGATCTCTTGATGAACCGGTAAGTAGATACTTTTATTGTACAACTGGTTGGCTGCCGGAGGAACTGCTGGACAGTTGCATGCAACCATGTTTTCCTCATCCACCGTCACTAACTAGCCCTGATGGATGTTCTGCCTACACTGTGCTGTACCCAGATGGCTGTTGTTGGCTCTGCCGTTCTCACAACGCTGACCCACCAAACAGATGAAGCTTCGCCACATTGGCTGTTTCCGGAATTGCTAAGGGCGTCGGAGCGGAGATGAGGGCGGCAGAGGGGCGTGGGTGAGGGTATTTGTAATTGCTGCGAGTTTCGAATTTGCAGCAAATGACTGTTTCGTGCCGAGGGCCTCGGGCGGGCTCGGGAGTAACGAGGACGGAGGGCGACGATGTACCGTACCATGGTTTTCAGGGTGCGCACAACTCAGCAAACCCCGAGTCGCGCTCTGCAGCACTTTTATCTGAGCCATGGTGGCATGACAAGTGCCAAAAGAAAGGAGAAAGGCCGTAGTGGTGGGGAAAGCTCGACGGGAGGTTTGGACAGGTCTGGACAGACAGAAGCGTCGCGGATGCAAAGCGGGAGGGGCTGCTTGTTTTAGCAAAAGAAAAAGAAAACACTGGTGGTTGGGAATGTTAATGTGCATTGGATGGGATTGCAATGGAGTAATAAACCTATGCAATATCCGCACCGCGGAGAGGTCTGTGCTCGTTTTGAAAATCGTTCTCAATGTGCTGGTGTTTCATGTGTGTTCATCGCGCATGCATGCATGGTTTCCTAACGTTTTCGGTTATGGCGGTTGCACCGCCGCGGCCTGCGCCATCAGCCAAGTAGTCGGTGCCACACCTCGGTCTCATACGAAATTGAGATGGGATATAATAGTTGATACTTTCATTCAACTATGTAATTCAGCGCCATCGGCCAAAAGGAGTATTCGCCTCATCTGGATGCGATATCTGGATCTTGATGGATCATGGACCATCGCTATTTCACTTCAGTAGAATATATCTATGTACAATACCGCACGAGCTCAAAATCAAATTTAATTAAAAACATATCTTGTGATGAAATAGCTAGCTACATTGCAGGCAAGCAGGATAAGAAGGCTCCTACCTCGCCGTACATTTACAAGCCGGGAAGTTCGCGTTCGTCATCAGCATCGCTGCCAGGTGGACATTTGCCGTGCCTCAACCAGCTTCCGGCCAGCAACTGCGCATATTTGTTGGCTGCGAAGAAAAGCGATATGGTCCTGAATCCCGTCATCGCATATGACGGCAGTCCATCCATCGTCGTGATGGGCTCCGTCCCAAGACATGGGCGCCACCCGACGCACCAGCAGGCAGCCCTAGCTGCCCTTGTGGGCGGCAGCAGCCCCCACCCAGCTAGTTAGCTATCACGGCTGCCTAGTCCCCTTTCCAGACACTTTGCCAGCAGCAGGTCGTCCATCGGCTGTGCCAACCACGCACGCAGCTACACACGCACGCAGCGGAACAAGTTGATATCTCACCAGCTCACGGTCCTGCTTTGTCCACGCGGCCCCATGTCCCTTAAACCCATTTCACTGCCATTGCGCTGCGCTGCGTAACAAGAGTAACAATCATGCCCCAAAATAATAACAACGATACCGATGTGCAGAATGAATTTGAACCGATGAACACAAACCCACCAGCGTGTACACACACACAGAGGGACGGACGGAAGGTCAAAAAGATACAAAAAACCGCTTCTCAGCGAATAAAATTAGTGTGCCCATCTCGCCCAACCATACCACTTTGCCCATCCTGTTTCGTAATTCGACGCTGGTTGCTTGCATGACCCACCGACCCACCATCCCGAGGCGAGGAGCCCGGTGTTCCTTCCAAGGTACCTGTCACCTGTCACCTGAGCTTACTAATACACCCTGGCCCCTACCGCCCCTTACTGCATCATCCTGTCTGCCACCGGGGCCCCCGTCAGGGGCCCCCGCCCGCCCCGATTGAGGCAGGGCACTCAAGGTAACGCGACCTTCCGTTACCCTACGACCTCGGATACACTTTTCAGGCACCACGCTCCTAACTGATCGCCTCCACCCGAGCCTTACGTCCGTACCGTAAAGGGAGTGGCACAACTTACCTTCCCTAAAAAGTAATATCCTACGCTATTACCTCAGTGTTACGTCCTTACCAAAACATAAGACATAACAGGGGCACGCTGGTGTGTTTCCGTTGGTACACATGCGTGCTTGCGTGACTATGACCCGCATGTGATGTGTCCTCGTACTGGGTTACACAACGGCAGCGTCCGAGCGGCAGACTGCCGAAGGTGGCGGCGGCAGTGGCAGCCAAGGTGAGGAGGTTCCGCTCTTCTCCGAGGGACCCCTCATCGCGGACCACTGCCTGCCTAAGACCCTTGACTTCTAGCAACCTGCCGTACACGCCAGTACTTTGCAGGCCAGGGCGGCCAATAAATCCCTGACCCCTCCATGCTTTCGAACAAGAAATTCGAGGATAATCAGATGCCCCTTAAAGGTTGCTACGAAGTAATATATCGTCTGCGTGCGAGCTCCCTTTGAAACAACTTGCTGCGTCTCGCCGAGCATGGTACACAGCCACATGGGTGCGGACTGCAGTCGCACGGGCCGTTATTATAATGGACCCACCATCGCCCGCGTCATGGCCCTGGCGCTGCCACTGCTGCTGTTGCTGGTTGTTATTGCGGGGAGTGCCCGTGAGTACATGCTTTTGAAATGCTGTATGCACCTGCTCCCTAACTCCTTAGGTGTACGTTGCTGCCTTCATTCTCATGCGCGTGGTCTATCTCGATATACCTAATTCGCTAGTGGTCACACAATTCGCCCCGTTATCATGCCCGGCACGGAGCCGCAGCACATACACGGAGGCCCGCGCATGCAGTGGTGCACGGGGTCGTGTGGGCGGGGTCATGTGTATGCACTGCGCCCTGTCAGGACCTCACTTGGGAGCCCGTCATAACGGCACAGCTGTCTGATTGCGGACAGCTGTTGGTTACATTTCCGTGTAGGGCCGCATGCCCTGTCCACCCCACCCTCCTTGCTTTCCTGCCCACCCGCCCAGTCTTATCTCCCCCCCCACCCTGTTACGGCCCCTCCCCGCCGCCGCCGCTGCCATCTACAGCTGCTGTGACAGCCCAGGAAGTGGGACACCGCAAGCTGCTGCAGGCTTCCACATCCACATCAAGTAGGTTGACTGCGGGTGGGAGGGGCCGTGTCCATAGATGAATAGTTGCCATGCACTGCATGGGTGAGCAACACAGGGCCGTCACATGTCTGGGCAACCGGTCCTAGGAATACATGACCCGCCGGGCCGGGACGGCCGGGCAATGTGGTGATGTATTGGTTGCGAGAGGGTGAGCTGGGTGAGCTGGGTTCTCCAGTTTGCAGGGTCTGGGACCAGCTGCAAACTTAAGGAGAAGCAACCCCATGCGCAACCCCAACCGCGACTCCGTGCCCCATGTCCCTTTACACCCCCTCCTCAGCTTCCGGCGGTTCTGCCGCCGCCGCCGCCGCCGCACCCGGTGCTGCCGCTTCCACCGCTGTCGCCGCCGGTGGCGCTGCCGCTGCTGCCAGTGCCGGCGCTGCCGCCGCCGCCGCCTCAGCCGCCTCAGCGGCCGCACCCCGTCCCCCGCCTCCGCGGCCTCCCCCCCCGCCACCTCCGCCTCCTCCTCCACCGCCTCGCCCCGCTCCCGCCGCCAGCAGTGCCTCAGCCGCCGCTTCTGTAACTGTCGTTGCCGCCCCTGCTCCAGCGAAGGCCCCCCCTAAAGCCCCCCCGCCTCCCCCTAAAGCCCCCCCGCCGCCGCCACCACCCCCGCCGCCGCCGCCAATGAAGGTAAACTCATGCCGTTCGGGGTGTCTAATAGTCCGATTAAGTGGTACACATGCCGTACCCTGGCAATACGTTTGTTTCCGTATTGGGCAGGGCGGCAACGTTTCGCCTCGCAGTCCGCATGCCTTGTTCTCTGTCTCGCGGCATCCAACCGACTCCTGTTATTTGCCCGTTTGCCTTCCCCACTTGCCATTGCTTGGCTCATGCATATTCACAACGGATGTAGTTACTTTGGGGTCTTATCATCCCAACGCAGATGAAGCTTCGCCGCGGGTGCTTTGCAAGTTGCTAAGAGCCAGTCGGCGATGCCCCGGATTGGGTGACCCTTACTGCGAGCCAAATGTTGGTCAGCACCAGGCACATGGTAGCTTGCTTATTACATGCGACAAGAGAGAGCTAGTCAGTCTTTAGGATAACGGTGCTGCTGCCGCCCTGCGCAGTGCTCAGGGTGTTCTCTTAGCAGCTTTGCGGGGCCGGGTCGTGTCTCTTGTTGCCCGGTGCTGACGGGGCCGTGATACGGGAGTTGGCTTGGTTCTTAAAAACGGGGAGACGCCTTTCCAGGCTTGTACAGTGTTTGGGGGTGTTTGGGGGCACAGCTTCTTCCGGTGATCAGGGCCAGCTCGCTGTAATATCACTCATTCTGGTAGCTTCATCCCTGCTTTTGCTTGAATGGCATGGATTTGATTGCCTGTGGTGATCTGTGGAGATGTTACAAGTACAGTTAGAGTGTCCACACAAAGCGTGGAGGGGTCTGTCAAAGCCGGGCGTGCTATGGACCGTTGGTGAAAGATTCTCGTTACAGTGTTGGCGGCGAGTATCGATGTCCTGCCGCTCCCGTTTGATTGTATGTATGTGAGCTGTGTAAGAAGTATTCACCTGCCACAGGTGGCAATCTCTAAACTTTCATCCACCGCCGTAGTTACCCCACAGATCAATACTTCGCACTTATCAGTACTTCCCATCCCCATGCCAGTCTCCTGACAACATTAATCTAACAACCCAGCAAGCACTGAGCTCGCTCGGAACCGGTTGCCATTAGAGATGCATAATCGACGAAAGAGAAAGTTACAAGTTCCGCATGCAGGTGCGAGTGTGTCCGGGGGGGCCATGGACGTGATATTGGTATTGATTGGGGGTACGTGGGAGGCCATGATCATACTCCCTCGTCCGCTTCAGGGCGATGCGCCTCAGCGCTGACGTGCCTGGCCTCCCAGATTTCCGAGAGGTACCTGGCCAATGCCAGCGGTGGCGCCTCAGTCATAATGGTGCGCATGCTGCTGGACCCCTTAAGAACGAGGTCACCATCGTACTTAGCCCGTATGCTCTTGTAAGCGTGGCATTCAGCAAAAACATGCGATTCGTCTTTTCAACCGCTCCACAGTCACAAAGCCTGCAGGTACACGCGGTGCGCTAATGCCCATTAGGCCTATTAACCTCTAACTCCCAACAGCCTAACTGGAAGCGCATGAGCACTTGATGCAGTCGCCGGGGCATGGCTACTTTAGTGTGCTCCAGCCAATCGAGACGCGCACCCCTAGGCGGGGCCGCTCCCATCAAGTTCATATAGCGACAAGCCTTGGCACCGGTAATCCCTTTGGGGAAAACGCGGGGTTTTTTACACCTTCGGACACTCCTACTTAGTGGGGGGTTCCGTTCCTAAGCTAGTAAGAAAGGTTAGTACCTTGCTTGTCCAGCATCCGAGTGCCAAGTCCAGGTCGGTGACAAACCCCTGATGGCACAGCGTTCCCGGCCTCTTAACGATGGAGTTCCAAAACCTCAGTACAAGATTGGCCCAAAGGAACTGGAGCTGCCTCTGTGACAGCTCGCGGTTTAAGGAAGCCATAGTCGGGCTCCTCGCCCCAACGACAGATCGCATGTATGCACGCTGCTCCTGGACCATGGAATTAGTCATAGCGCCTTCAAAACTCACATTTATGAAGTCAAGCCCCAAAACTTGCGCTCCATAGGAAAACACCGGTACAACTAGTGTATCAAAGAGAGACACACATAGCATGGAGATGGTAATTTTCTTATCTCGACACAGAGTGCTGAGCCCAAACGTGGCCCGCCTCCCTGCTGCGAGTAGTTGCTCGGTACATGCTGAAAACTGCGCTCCTGGGCCATAGTGCAACCGGAGGCACCGTGCCGTCTCTTTGCCGGTCAGCACCCGCAACCCCACTCCACCTAGCCAGTACTCCATACTTCCATAAGCCGCTTCCGCTCACGCGTAGTGCGCCCGAAAATGAGGACTTCACACTTGGCGGCATTCGCCTAGCAGTAGGCTTCGAGTAGCCCCAGAAGTCATTCAGCTGTATCGTGCCCGGTCGCCACTAGTGACACATCGTCAACGAAAAGCAGGTTGGTGAGTTCACCGCCCGCCAGGCTACCACTCTGCTCGTGGAGGGTGCTCCATCGGCTAGAAAGGTGTACACGGCAATTAGCATCGTGAGCATCAATGTAATGAGCGAATATTTCTATGAAGAGTCCAAAAAGGGTTACGCTAAGGGGCCACCCTTGCTTCACACCACGCCCCACCGTGAATTCAGGTCCCAACCTACTCCCCAACTTGACCCGAACCTTCACGTCAGCATAGCTAGCCTTTAAAGAATCGAGGATGCGCCCGTGTAGCCCATACGACATGAGGAAGCCCCAAAGTGTCTCATGGTCAACGGAGTCGAACGCCTTACTAAAGTCGATTTGCATGATAATAAGCGGCCTGGCTCCGGCCACAGTGTGCTTCGAGATAAGATGCTGTTGTATCACGTCTTATCGCAGAAAAGAACCGATCGGCGGATGCCAGATCCCGTGATACCCAGGATACTACAAATGCCTTAATGTAAACAAGTAATGCTCGGTGCCAAAACCATGCCTACATCCAGCCTGGCTAGCGGCACGTAGCCTGTTGCCCTCACAGTAATTGGTGAGTCGCCTCCCGATGATATTGGCGTAAAGTTATCGGCGGTTGTATGTGTGAGGGGGTCGGGCTGGAGAAACGGTGGGTGGGTTGTAGGACGAAGAAGGTAGGGAGAGGCGAGGGCAACGAGGTAGGAGGCGACGCCGACGAGGTAGTAAAGGGAGGAGGCGGCGAGGTAGGAGGAGGCGAAGGCGACAAGGTAGGTGGGGATCCGTCGGATTCCGTGGAGTGAGTCGGGTAGCGGGCGGGGGAGCAGCTTGCGGTTCGAGAGGTGGTAGTGGGGCGGGAGGATGAGCAGGATGAGGGAGGGAGGGTGTGTCCACGAAGTTGGTATGCGAAGTCATCCAAACTGCTGCCTTCCGCAGTGGCGACGACGTCGGTGTACTTGGTGTACTTTGTGATTTTCTTCATATGAATAGGGTAGCCACGAGGAACAGGGTGTTTCCTCTTGGCCGAACATTAACAATCCCTCAGCTAGATGCCCTCGACCATGACGCCTCTGGAATGGTGATTGTCCCCTTTTTTTCACTGCTGCCCACTTGTTACCGGCTCTCATGCCATTCGGCGATGCAAAGGTACCTAAATGTCTGTTTCTACTGCCGAACAGCTGCCACGTCGCTCTGCGATGCACTGCGGCCCTATTTGCCCATATCTTCTTCTGCAGGTCGCGCTCGTCGTAATTATTTAAATACCGTGTGTATGAAGATTTGGAGCGGAACTGTCTGGAAGTGGGTTAGAACCGTCCTTGCGTTTGTGATTTAGCCGGTTTAGCCGGTTTTGCCGAGGAATGCTTGTTGTTGGAGCTAATTGTTACAACACTGTTAGGCTGCTCACTGCTTCACGCCATCACACATTACTTTACTCGGGCTGAACCACCATACCAAACATGTGAGATAAGACCAATTAGGCAAGCATCAGGAAACAGGCGACCTAAATAACCTAAGGCAATGCGGTTAAAGCCTTCCGCGACAGCAATCGTACCCTTATACTGGAAGGCTAGCGGGTAGGAGCTGGCTGATGTTGCCACAAACAATCCCACTGTTCGCAAAAACAATCAGAAACACCAGAAAGGAACTACAACCACTACCCCAGGGGCAAGCTAGCCACAACTCTTTAACTCCCCAGAGTGAACCCCTGGACAGAGAGTCGCTGCGGAGCCTCGCAATTCCGACGTACATCGATGTCATAATACTACCACCACCACTACTATTTATTATTTCTGTACGCCATGCAAATCCTCCCTGCTCCCCTTGCGTGTGTTAATCCTGTTAATGGACAGATTCTATTTACCACATCACCGTGGTACCGCGTCACCGTGGTACCGCGTCACCGTGGTACCGCGTCGCCCTCAGCAACTTGCAAAGCACCCGCGGCGAAGCTTCATCTGCATTGCCATGTTAAAGTCCCCGAAGTAAAGTAACCGCCGTGGTGAAAGTGCATCATAAGGCACACAACGGACAGCAGGAAGGCAAACGGGCAAATAACAGGAGTCGGTTAGGATGCCGCGAGACAGAGAACAAGGCATGCGGACTGCGAGGCGAAAACGAAGCTATCCCGCCGCCAGCCGCAATATGGCAAAAGGTAGCCCGCGTGTATCTAAGCAAATTCATGGATGTTAAAGGCCAGAATGGTAGCTCACCTTCATGGGTGGCGGCGGGGGAGGTGGCGGGGGGGGATTTGACTGCCTGCGGTGAATCGCGTATGTATGTGTGTGTGTGTGTGTTACATGGTTGGGGGTGCGTGACCCCATACCTGTAAGACTACCCATACGAGCCGAAGGCCCAAGGGTATGTATGACCTTTGTAGAGCAGTGGCACAAATTTGTCTTCATCAGCCCCACCCAGGTGGCAATCCTCAAACTTTCATCCGCCACCTAAACCGCCGCACGCCGTATCGTCCACCGTCGCTGTTTCCACAGACACGCGCCAGTAGCAAAACTACGTGTCTTCCGTGATATTCAGTACTGAGATAGCCACGTTTTCCGCCGACCGCAAACACCTGAATAGCCTTGCAGGCAGTGGCCATCTTGCACCTGCACTGCAGTGCGGCAAGAAGTCAAAGCTAGCAAGCCGATTTTGAAGACTTGCCGGTAGATGCCAGTACAAAGTAAACGTCCCCTCACTCGGCGGGCTACATGCATGCGTCTTACACGCGGCAGGTGTCTGGCGCCTCTCAGCAGATCACGAACAGGGTGACAGTCTCATAGTGCGATCGGTTCGTACCACTGACAGCTAGGCATATGAGTAGCTATGTTCAGCAGTCTTGTTACTGCTGCACCACTATTCCATGAAGGCAAGCAAATGCTGACTGCTCCATCCAGGAGCATCCCGGCCCCGAGTAACAAGGATGGCTTTTAGGCTGAGTAAATTTTTATTGTCAATTGCAGCATAGGGTGTTCATGAGAAATCATCAAACGTTACAAAGGGTACTTGCAAGCAAATGAAATAAGTCTTCCTTCGGTAGGTAGAGGCCGGGTGGAGGCTCCAGCTACCGGGAGGCAATCCACTAGGCGTGGACACCTAACGCCTCACAGCAGCGACCTTATTTAGCTACGAAACCCGAAATATACTCTAACACACCTGAGCGACCTCCTTAACTGGCATTACATGCCGTACCAACACACACAACCAGCTCTTCTGAGTTCACAGAAAACCTCGGTTTTCTATCATTACTCTCAGAAAACCATCAGTTAGCTTCCCTAAGGCACTGATTGGGTCAGTAACCCATGGGTTAACCATCGGTTACCCACCTTCAACACCCGGTAGGCCATTGGTAACCCCTTGTAAGTTCCTACCCAGCAGGAGGGGTAACACGGCCCCAGGGTAAACCCCTCCGTTGCCCTGGACTATGGACATATGTATGGGCCTATAGGCTAATTACTCGTCTTATATGCTTCCCACATCGTGAATTCCGCTTAAGGACACTTTTTGAAATGTAAACGCTAGCAACCTACAGTATCGTGGTATCTCGGGAAGCATCGTTTGCCATTTCAACCTTAAGGTCTCTAATGCTGGCATCACACACGCAAGGAATAAGCAATAAGTACCTATGTCTTGGCCTGTTTGGCTGCTGTAAAACGAGAGCTTGTAGATGAGTACAGGAGAAGGCGCGAATGCTGGCAGCACACCCGCAAGTCGACGACAGGTCTTCACTAAATGGATGCCTTTGGTTGTCATCCATTATTATATATATAGTATTCCTCATTGTGAAAACATCAGGCAATCAGTCCTGAGAAGCTTCTGTTAGCTCGCCTACCTAACCGCAAGAACCTGACCTTTTGACCTGGGCTGCGTGTCGCTGTCATTCTCTACATCGCATCTAGCAATAAGTGACTATTATTGAGCACAGATGATGCGATATAGATAATTGGCATTATGAGCCATCATCAGGTCGACATGATGGGGGCTGATGGGGGAGGGAGAAGATGCGAACGTCGATGGCCTGCTGCCTACAGGAGGCTGTGAACAAACCGTTTAATCAAACTAATCAAGACAAAGAGATAAAATAAGCATAAAGACAATTAAATGCCGTGGCGCACGCCGCAACATATGCGCGATGAGTCGGTCACCGGATTTTACGACATATTATGGAAGCCTGCTTATCCTTATCAGGCAACACGGCTTGACTAAAGGAACCATTCTTGACTTAGGGAAAAGAAAAACACGCGACGAGTTAGTGTCATCATCATGACAACACTTGACACTCTGGGAACCAGGGGCGCTCATTCCGTATACGATTCACGCTCATTCCGGCTAATATCTACTTTGACTCTTCATTCCACAACCCTCCATTTCATATCGAGGTAACTTAATCATTTTGGAATGAAGACCCCTTCGCTAAAAAATAAAACAAGTGGCGAATGAACGCTCCCTACGGTCTGAACGCCTGTTCAGTCTTAAACGAAGCACTCCTCCATCACGTGATATGATCATCCCTTCAGTCCCAAAAAACCGTTTCCATGAAATGAGCCCTCATCACACGATATGATGACATTTTCAGTCCAAAACGATGCGTCTCCAAAACGATGCCCCGTCCGTCGCGTGATATTAATGAATGTTCAGTGCAAAACATTGCCATTTCCAACAGACGAGCCCCTGTCCTTCACAACCAGCCCGTTCCGATTACAAATGCCTCCAAACGGCGTATGAGTCATATCACTATTGCATGACTCACCAACCCACCATCCCGAGGTGAGGAGCCCGGTGTTCCTTTCAAGGTACCTGTCACCTGAGATTACGAATACACCCTCCCCTTACTGCATCAGCCTGTCCGCCGCCGAGGCCCCCGGCCGCCCCTATCGAGGCAGGACAGTCAAGATAACGCGACCTTTACATCTAGTAATCCTTGTGCCCATGCGGCAGCCCGCCGCTGGCACCCCGTACCGTGATCACATTCGTCCAATGTCCGCAGAGACGTCAATCCCCTTGACACGTCAATGATGGAGTGCGGCAGGCACCCCCAGCTAGCGGCCCACAGCGGGAGTACTGGCGGTGATCATCTTGGTGTGTGTACCTGGCGTTACATGAAGCGAGGCAACGGCAGGCCGGCATTGTGGCAGCCAAAATAACTCAATTCCATTTCCCGAATTGGCAATTGTAGAAGCAAGAGTAGTTGCAAGACTAGTAGATGTTGTTGTTTGTTGTAGGTTCACATCCCCAAGGGACCTCTCACCCTTGGCAGGCCTGTGATGACCCATGCTCTTACATCAAAAACCTCTGCCGTACACGCCCGCCCCAGGACCGCGGGACAGTGCATAGCGGCAAATAAATCCAGCCTTCTTCCGCATATTCTCCAGCAGCTTGTGATAGGGTGAGGCGACTCTGCATACGAGTGGTGTATGCGTATTAGATACTTGGCAGCATAGCCCCCCCGATCTGCCCCTCAGAGGGTGTCCTGGTTAGCCACATGGGTGCGGACTGCAGTCGCACGGGCCGTTATTATAATGGACCCACCATCGCCCGCGTCATGGCCCTGGCGCTGCCACTGCTGCTGTTGCTGGTTGTTATTGCGGGGAGTGCCCGTGAGTACTTTTACCTATAATTTCACATCGTATGTACCTGTGTGGAGATCAACTTATTTTGGTCCGCCATGGCTATAGCATGAATGCCACGTCAGGCCATGTCGTAGGAACACACATACATGCCGGGTCAGCTCATCACTGCACCCACCCGCGCACGGGGTAACCTCCCACACCCGGCATCGCTGCCCTAGCGGTAACGGACGGTACACCACCTGCCCTGTCCACCCCACCCTCCCTGCTTTCCTGCCCACCCGCCCAGTCTTATCTCCCCCCCACCCTGTGACGGGCCCCACCCGCCGCCGCTGCCCTCTACAGCTGCTGTGACAGCCCAGGAAGTGGGACACCGCAAGCTGCTGCAGGCTTCCACATCCACATCAAGTAGGTTGACTGCGGGTGGGAGGGGCCGTGTCCATAGATGAGTATTTGCCATGCACTGCATGGGTGAGCAACACAGGGCCGTCACATGTCTGGGCAACCGGTCCGAGGAATACATGCCCGCCGGGCCCGGTCGCAAGGAGGCGCTCCTACCGGCAATGTGGTGATGTATGGGTTGCGAGAGGGTGAGCTGGGTGAGCTGGGTTCTCCAGTTTGCAGGGTCTGGGACCAGCTGCAAACTTAAGGAGAAGCAACCCCATGCGCAACCCCAACCGCGACTCCGTGCCCCATGTCCCTTTACACCCCCTCCTCAGCTTCCGGCGGTTCTGCCGCCGCCGCCGCCGCCGCACCCGGTGCTGCCGCTTCCACCACTGCCGCCGCCGGTGGTGCTGCCGCCGCCGCCAGTGCCGGCGCCGCCGCCGCCTCAGCCGCCGCAGCGGCCGCACCCCGTCCCCCCCCTCCGCCGCCTCCCCCCCCGCCACCTCCGCCTCCTCCTCCACCGCCTCGCCCGGCTCCTGCCGCCAGCAGCTCCTCAGCTGCTGCTTCCGTAACTGTCGTTGCCGGCTCTGCTCCGCCTCCAGCGAAGGCCCCTGCCAAAGACCCCCGCGCCGGCCGCCGCCAATATCAATGAAGGTGAGGTCATGCCGTTCGGGGTTTCTGAAGATTCCGGTCACGCCTTACTCTGCCATGACAATAGTTTGTGGGTTCTGCAGCAATGTCTTTTCGCCTCGCGGTTTTGAGCAGTCAACAGACGTGTTGTCTTGTTGTCTTGCTACTGGCCATTGTATGCCTTCCGCGCATTCTCAACACCTTCCTTTCGGGAATTACAACGCAGGTGAAACTTCGGCACGGATGTTGCGCTAAGTGCCGATCAGCCTCCTGGCCGCTTGGGAGTCGTGGGACTTGATTTGGTGTTTTCGATACTCGTGTGAATTCTCGTGAGCGCTCCTTGCCCAGCCAAGCATTCGGGAGCCCTGGGAGCCGTGGTGGTTTGTGGCCACCTGGAGCTACACGACCTATTTTGTATCTGGGCAATCCTCGAACCGTTCAATGCCTTAATCGGAATAGAAAGCCGCGGACTCGTGAGCAGCATGATCACTTCTGTGTCGTCCCCGTTACGCTGCGATAGCTTAGCTGCACAGTACTGCTTCAGCTTCTCCGCTGCCGGTTCTCTGCCAACCGCTTACCTGCCGGGCGCTAGCATCCAGCCCAAGCTGATTTAGGCTGATGGTGGCTTGGTACGGGACACTGCCGTTGTCTCGGGCTGGTGCTATCAAGGCTGTTGGTTGCCCGGGTAGGGTTGCAAGGAAATGTGTGTACCCCATTAACGTAACAGTACCGAGGAGGGTAGGAGAAGACAACACGCTGTGGCTGCAAGGCTAGTGACCGGCTAGCTTCTTGGTGTAACATCGCCTCCTATTTTGTAACATCACCTCCGAATATTTTGATGCACCGTACGCGCATTATGGTCAGTCCAACCAGACGTACCGGGCTCCGCAGCGCCAGCATTCCCAGAAGTCGGCGCCACGGCCGAACTCAGCCCGCTACCACCGCTCCAGTTCGCGTTCTCAGTGGCTAACGAGGGCCTGACGTTTCGATGGCTCGGGTCGACACGTGCATCCTCATTATTCTTTTTCGCTTACTAATCAGAGTTAACGTGGCGACTGCCGGAAATATGCAATTTTCGCTCCCGGATTTATTGTAGTTGGTGGGGGGAAAAATACATGACCGTAAGGGAAAAAGAGACTTGCAGCTGCTAAGCCTGCTTTAACGACTGCGCAAGATTGTATGATTCAGAAAAGGTTAAAATAAAGGACGATATGACGATGGTTTTTTTACTGAACGACAACGAATTTTTACTAAGTCCGGAGAATTTGACCCTTTTCAGAAAGGTTCGTAGGAGCTTATGGAGGCTAAGTGGACTGGATCTAACGCAGTTGAGAAAATGTTCAACCCTGTCGCTGCTAGACTGATACTCCGCTGACCGCTGTTGTTATTTCCTTAGTTCTGTTCCATGCATGCTATGTTCGTCTCAGGTGCAGTGCACGGCCGGCTGGCCCGCTGGCTCTAGTCTTCGTGAGTCTAGAGCCCACTGTAACAACCACACACACACATTGCTGTGGTCCCAACGGTCTAATCGCGCTGCTGTACAAACCCTAAGCCTACAGCAGAAGTAGAGGCTGAAGGCTCTGCATCTAGGTAGGCGCCCAAACGCATACCATGCCCAACGGAAGCTCCGAAGCCGATCCCTTACACAATTCTTCGTGAACTTGGTTGATCACGGGCATGAGCCCGTTGAATAGTTGGAGCGATGAACGGCATTCCCCAATCGACCCCTGGTTGGTGCGTATTGGACTCCGCACCGGTCCAGATGTTATGGCGCTTTGCTGGTTGGCGTACCTACCTAACGATAACGAAAACAGCCTCCTACGCATGTAATAACGAATATTTATACTCGCGAAAGAGAGTAGATCAGAGCATTTTTTGTTTCTTCATATCTTTTTTAAAAACCTAGAAGTATTTAACTGAGCGTTAGAAATCTCGGGCTGTTGTTGTGATCAAAAGGACTTGACTAGATAGCTTGCGTTGAAAGGCGCGAGGGGGAAGCACCCCAACATTCTAACAGTTTTCCTGGCACAAAGCATTCCCCCACCTCAAAGGAAGTCCCGCCCGCCGCCGAACATACACGCGGGCTCTTGGACGATGCGAATTGCATGACTCACCGACCCACCGACCCACCATCCCGAGGCGAGGAGCCCGGTGTCCCTTCCAAGGTACCTGTCACCTGTCACCTGAGCTTGCCAGTAACCCCTGGCCCCTACTGCCCCTTACTGCATCATCCTGTCCGCCACCGTCCGCGTCTGGGGCCCCGATTGAGACAGGACACTCAAGGTAACGCGACCTTTACCCCTATCTCAGTAATCCTTGTGCCCATGCGGCAGCTCGCGTCTGGCACCCCGTACCGTGATCACATTCGTCCTATGTCCGCAGAGACGTCAATCCCCTTGACACGTCAATGATGGAGTGCGGCAGGCACCCCCAGCTAGGGCCCCACAGCGGGAGTACTGGCGGTGATCATCGTGGTGTGTGCACCTCGCGTTGTATGTAGCGAGGCAGCGGCAGGCCGGCATTGCGGCAGCCAGTAACTCAATTCCATTTCCCGAATCGGCAGTAGTAGTTGTTGTTTGTTGTAGGTTCACATCCCCAAGGGACCTCTCACCCTTGGCAGGCCTGTGATGACCCATGCTCTTACATCAAAACCTTCTGCCGTACACGGGGCCCCCAGGACCGCGGGGCAGTGCAGGCCAGCCAGGGCGGCAAATAAATCCCAGCCTACTTACACCTATTCTCCAGCAGCTTGTGATAGGGTGAGGCGACTCTGCATACGAGTGGCGTGTGCGTATTAGATACTTGGCAGTAGCCCCCCGTTCTGCCCCTCAGAGGGTGTCCTGGTTAGCCACATGGGTGCGGACTGCAGTCGCACGGGCCGTTACTATAATGGACCCACCATCACCCGCGTCATGCCCCTGGCGCTGCCACTGCTGTTGCTTCTGATGGTTGTTATTGCGGGGAATGCCCGTGAGTACGTATAATTGCACATCGTATGTACGGAGATCAACTTATTTTGGTCCGCCATGGCTATAGCATGAATGCCACGTCAGGCCATGTCGTAGTAACACATACATGCCGGGTCAGCTCATCATTGCACCACCCGCGCACGGGGTGACATGCCCGGCGGTGCTGGTGACCTCCCACACCCCGTCCTAACGGCATCGCTGCCCTAGCGGTACAGGACGGTCGCTGTCCACCCCACCCTCCTTGCTTTCCTGCCCACCCGCCCACTCTTGTCCTCTCCCCCCCATCCCCTGTTACGTCCCCTCCCCGCCGCCGCTGCCCTCTATACAGCTGCTGTGACAGCCCAGGAAGTGGGACACCGCAAGCTGCTGCAAGCCGCCTCCGCAGGTGGGTTGAACAGCGGGTGCTAGCGGGGCGGGTGGGTGGAGTGGGTGGCAGGTAGGGCGGGACAGCGAGGCACGTTGGGGCCTAGGGCTGATAGACCTGACGCATGCTTCGCAGACTGCGGGTTTGAGAAGCGCTGCATGGGGCAGCGATAGCTATGATGGCCTGTGGCATACGAGGATGCAGATAGACAGGCAGACAGACAGACAGACAATCATTATGGTTTGACAGCATGGCAAATCAATGGGTATGGGTGGAAGATTCGCAACTGATCTTATCTGTACAGGCACGGGAATCTGAGCCTGCAAGCAACCATTGGTGTGCTGGTTCAAAGCCGTGTTTCTGGATGTTTAGATTGGTGGTTTGGAAGTTTTGTCTGATGCTTACTTGCCAATTCGCCTTACTTGCCAAGACTAGGTGCAAACCGGTGCCCGCTGGCGCAACACTGCGCAGCTCCCCTAACCCAAATTCCTACCGCACCACCGTAAGGTATTTTGTTAAAACCTCTGCCGTTTCCTCAGCCTCCGCTGCTACGACCGCCGCCGTGCCCGGCGCTGCAGCTTCCGCTGCAGCTGCTGCGGCCGCTGCCCCCGGCGCCGCCTCTACATCTGCCGCTGCATCTGCAGCTATCGCCGGTTCCCCACCGGCTGCTGCCTCCGGCGCCTCCGCCGCTGCCGCCGGTGCAACACCGGCTGCGTCTGCCGCCAGTTCGTCCGCCGCCAGTTCGTCCGCCGCCGCCCCGTCCACCGCCGCCCCTTCCGCCGCTGCTACTTCCGCCGCTGCAACTTCCGCCGCCGCGCCGTCTGCCGCTGCCCCGTCCGCCGCCGCCTCGTCGGCTGCCGCACCGTCTGCCGCCGCCTCGTCCGCCGCCGCCTCGTCCGCCGCCGCCTCAGCAGCCAGGCCGCCACCACCGCCACCGCCGCCACCGCCGCCACCGCCGCCACCGCCGCCACCGCCGCCACCGCCGCCTCCACCACCTCCCGCCACTAGCAGTGCCTCAGCCGCCGCAGCAGCTTCCGTGACTGTAATTGCCGCCCCCGCTCCGCCTCCAGCAAAAGCTCCCCCTAAAGCTCCTCCTCCGCCGCCGCCGCCGCCGCCACCGCCGCCGCCACCGCCGCCGCCGCCGCCGCCACCGCCACCGCCGCCACCACCACCGCCGCCGCCACCGCCGCCGCCGCCACCGCCGCCCCCACCGCCGCCAGCCCCCGCACTGCCGTTGAAGGTACGATCCGACCTCTTGGGTGCCCTGTGGTAGAGTAGTGCTCATAGCCTGTCCTACCTTAACTTGTCCGAATATACCCCCTGTGCGCATGATGGTCATGCCACCTGCCCTAGCAACCTTCCGTGGGGCCCACCAATACTTCCATTCGTTGGGTGGAGCATTATGGGTACGGGCTTGTGAGGGCCAGCTGCTTTTGCCACCATTGCCCGCCTGCCCGTATTCGCCGCATTTCCAACGCCCATTCCCCTCCTCTCCCTCTTGTCCCGCTGCCCACCGGACACAGCTGAAACAAGCTCTTCGTCATCTTGGATGCTGGACAAGTTGCTAATGTACGACAGTACTGAAGCGTGCGTTGCGGTCAAGCTCCTGTGTACGACAAGTGTCTCTCGTTTCAAGACTGCCTTACGGGCTTCATGCATCCCGGCTGTTGTGCAGGAACCACAGTAATGATCTCACCAATGACGAACGGTTACACCTCCATCTGAGAGGCATGTTTTGGGGATTGGGTAGTCATTGCTGACACGGCGTCTTCTTCGGTCCTGTGTAAGCCATTGGCCTACACACGCGTCTTCCTGGCCGGCATGTATGTGTGCTAGCGATGCGGGTATGCGGCACGTACACTGCAGGCGTGGTGCTGCATTTGCATGCACCACGGAGCACCTGCAAGGCTCTGTGGCGTAGCTTACTCTTGAGTACTTCAGTTTGAGTTGATCGTTAGGAGGAAGGAGGAAGGAGGGAGGTGACAACATCCCTGTGTCCGGAGACATCTGCATGCTTGGGTCAGCGACGACGTAAGCTATGTGCGGCGACGGAGTGGCATGGCATCCTGGGGTCGTACGGGACTACTGTGTGCTCATTCGGTGCCACTCCTGCCACTCATATACAGCATGTAACTTGTTAATTCTGCGCAACCTAAGTTTACAGATACATCGTACCGAATTGCTTTACATCTCACCTGCTGGGCGGGGACTCGGGCAGTGATGCCGCGGAGAGGCTATTGCTTTTAGGAAAAAGCTATAACAGTTCACTGGGGCGATGAAAGCTGCAGGCAACTGCCACAAGCAGCAAGTTACTGTAGCTGCCAGCGCTAGAGCAGTAGCAGGATGCAGCTAAACTTGCGTATAGGTAGTCAAGGGTGAGATACTACGCAACCAGGGAATATGTTTGCATACAGCAATACGAGAGTCAAAGTCAATGGCCTCGGTCGTTAGCTCCTAAGCCGACACCGGCCCCGGCGCAGGTCAGACGTAGATATAGGTCAGATGTCCCTCTGTCCTCCGCACTGCGATCCACACCGCCAAACCGCAACTACATTCCCACGTTGATGTTCGCGTGTTGCGATGCAAAGGAAAACCGGAAAACCGTTTCATGTAAGACGAGCTAAAGATTTTCCCAATTGTTTGATCCCTCGGGGTTCACCACGTGTTTGTAAGGGTGCGAGGAATCGCCTGGATCGTGGTTTCCTGAAGCATTTGCAGTATTAGACAGGTAAATTATATCACGCATCTATATCAAATACCCCATGTGTAGAGTCGAAGTTGGTGATAATTTTAGATGGGGCGACCGGTAAGGACGCAGCGCCTTAAACCGTGACTTACGGATGTGGTCAATCCTCCAACCCAAGTTAGCTCATTAGCTCCGTTTCCCTGAGTCCTCTGATGGCGGAGCAGTCGCCGCTCCCCAGCCACCCACCCGGACATCGAACAAAGCGCCACATGACGTCGGAACTTGAGTAACCGATCGCTTGAAGCGAGCAAGGGGAAGGAGCCCGCGCTGGCTGGGACCCCCTCGGGGAGGCCAGCCTGGAAGTCGACGACGAAAAATGCGATGCAGCACTTGTCCAAGAAGCATTCGTCCAAATTATTCATGTGCAAAGTGCAACGAAATTGTTTTGCCAAATTTAATCCTATCGTACCTGCCCGTATGACACTCGCTAGCATTCATAGTCAGCTCCCGATGACAGATAATCTAGCTCTAGTACCTAGGTTGCGAGAAGTACATACATAATTTGTGGAATTCCAATGATATCCGCCGATGTGCGACCTAAGGACTTACTTGTCGCGTGGCCCGCCCGCCATCGTATGTGCCTATCTCAGACACAGTTCGCCTCGGCGCTCCTCTCGCTGTATCGACGGCACACAGGCAGGCAGGTTGTCGGACCGGCCTCAGATGGTTTCGATTACCCTTCCAGCTGACCAACAAGCCACCACGTAACGGTAAAATATTCCGCGACTCCATCCCGCTCCCCGATCTGTATGCAACAGCACACAAATGCTGCCGGAAGCTGAAAGTTGCGTGCGAGCTTTAAAAACCACCACGCACCTCAAACGGATGCATGCATGCATTCATGCAGCAACTCAGGTCACAGGCCACAGCAATTTGACAGCCCGCCAGCAGTGTTTCCTTCGACGTGCACATTCCTCTCCGTACGCACGTGAGTGGCAACGGCAGCCAAAGTACTTGGGCTCGCCAGCCCTAGGAATCTCCCGCCCCTCGGCCGCGTGATGAGCCGAACCACTGACTTCTAGCACGCTGCCGTACGCGCCCGCCCAGGCCGACATGGCAGTGCAGGCTAGCGCGGCAAATAAATCCCTGGCCCCTCCACTGCCAAATCAGTAGGCGACGGTTGTGCAGCGTCAATTATTACGACGAGTATACAGCTAGACAAGGGGTGAAGTCTTCAGTGTGTGGTGTGTTTTGTCATTAGCACTTCGCCTTATCAGAATCATGGGTGCACGCTATCGCGCTGGTCGTAGTGGCCTTGCCAGTATCTTCGTCATGCCTTTGGCGCTGCTTTTTGTGGTGCTGCTGGTTGCGGCGACTGCACGTGAGTCCACGCTGCGTCCCTGGATGCAAAACATCATCATGAAGGATGACGACATACCTAGGTCCACGCAATGCATTATATACTTCGTAGTAATGCCGACGAGGAAGGGGCCTCACTGCTCCCCATACCACTTTCAATATTAAGTGGATGAGTATCGAATGGATGATGAAGTTACAGTGAATCGAAACAGATCACCGTCTATTCTATCCTCATCTCTTATGTGTGTGTACGGTATGTACGTGTGCTAAACTCTTGTCCTCTTCCCCCCATCCCCTGTTACGTCCCCTCCCCGCCGCCGCTGCCCTCTATACAGCTGCTGTGACAGCCCAGGAAGTGGGTCACCGAAAGCTGCTGCAGGCCGCCTCCGCAGGTGGGTTGAACAGCGGGTGCTAGCGGGGCGGGTGGGTGGAGTGGGTGGCAGGTAGGGCGGGACAGCGAGGCACATTGGGGCCTAGGGCTGATACACCTGACACATGCTTGGGCAGGGCGACACTGCGTCCTACAGGCACGAAACAGTGCTTCCAACCGGGAATCAATCGTTGCACAGGTTACGGGCTGCGTCACCGGAAACTATATTTTGTCGTGGTAGTTGCCTGCTTTTCAGTGTGACCGTGACCCATATGACCCACGGGTCACTCAGGTAGTGGTGCCTATGCCTATGCCGCAACCCATTTCTGGCGCTGCACCCTTCAGTTCTCCCCCCCGTAGGGCTCCAGTGGCCCACCACGGAATCCCGAACTTTCCGCCCCGGTGTGTCCCTTCCTCAGCAGCCGCCGCCGCAGGCGCTCCAGCCGCCGCCGCGTCCTCCGCCGCCGCTGGGGGTGCGGCTGCCGCTGCCGCCGCCGCTGCTGCTGCCGCCGCCGCTGCTGCTGCCGCCGCTCCGCCGCCTCCACCTCCGCCCCCCCCGCCTCCGCCTCCGCAGCCAATGGTAAGCTCAGGCCCCGCCGGGTTTTTTTTGAGAATCCGCGGACCCAGTTTAAATACACATGCAATCATAGTAAACTATCGGAACGTATGCGTAGCTCTAAGGGGAGTCTGTTAAATTTAATTTGAATTTATCATCTTGGTTGTTGCACCATGGGGCTAGCTGCGGGGCAGGCTGGGCAGCTGCTTTTCGCCTAGTGGCGTAGGTGTTTTACCTATTGATTCCTCCCTGTGCTCTGCCTGAACGGCGTTATACTTGCCGGGAATCTCCGGGACCGCCGGGACCATCAGTGTGCTTCACTCTCCGCTGAATACTGTCATAACAGGTCGTGACTAAGTCGTGGTGCTGGAAAGGTTGCGGACGTTGAAGCCATACATGGTGGGCATGGCTGGTCGAGGCGCCAGGCTTCTGGCGTACGGAGGATGCGAGGCGGGACAAGTGGCACCGTCCGTACGAACATGGAGATGTACGATCCCGGCACCTAGGGGTTCTCTCAGAGCCTCAGAGTCTTCTCACAGAGGTCGTGTAGTATTTTAAATTGCCAGAATGCTAGAAAGTGACGGGAGGAGTGACGGACAGCAGTGCCGCGGACGTGGTGTGTACGTGCCGTACACCTAGTGCCGTACATAATGGCTTTATAGTGTAGATTTTACAGGTACTGTGTACGTAGTTGCTGGCATCTGATCGCTTTGGGGTTGCGGTTGATGTGTTGTTGCTAACTTAAGGAATGAAAGGTGTACTTGCTAGGGGAGAACCCCGCTAGGGAAACCCCGTGTGGAGATGCCCGCACGCAGACGTTGTGTAAACGCAACACACCTTAAGAAGGATTGCCGTCGATTGCACATGCTGCATCCATCGAATCTCCTGGGCTTCTTTGTCGACACACAGCGTTAGGCATTCGAAGTACCTGAGGACAAGGTACGGCAGCTGGACGAATACGCTTAACTGAATAAGACAGTAGTGTCACCAGACCAGACCGGGGCCTGTGGCTACAGCGAGTGGATGAACTGTACATGCGGTGTGCTGAGTAGGACCAGGAGGTGCAGCTGGTCTGGCATCGGAACACTCGGAACAGCAACAGCAGTCTGCAGACACGCTCTCCAGGACGGCTCGAGGACGGCTCGCAATGGTGCTTGAATGGCGCGGTGTTCGGTAAGCCAAGACGTACTGGTTGTGCATTAAACCCCCGTTCGAACCCCGGGCGAGTGGAGCATAAGATTGCGAAGGAGAAGCCGGACTGTCTCCTGATCACCCCGGTTTGGTTGGCCACGCTGGTGGAGGGCTAGGCTGGCAACCCTACCCACCATCAAGGCATGGAGGCTCCTACCGCACAACCCTGCCCTCTTCAGGCCGGGACCCCGGGTCCCAGGCGCCTCAGAGAGAAAGCCAAGGCCCCACGTTATGCAGTCGAAGTGGTTACATTCTGTGCTAAATAGAGCAGTCTATGTCGGGCCCAGAAGGGAGAGCGACCGACGAGCACAGCGGGACAGTACCATCCTGGCAGTGAAAGGGCAACGGTCCCGACTTGGCGATTAACTAAGACAGAGAGGATGATGGGGAGCTGGGCGGCCAAGAG